AGATGAACTTTGCAAGATTTTCATTGCTCTGCTATGGTTAAGGGATCGTGCATAGACAAGGTCGCATCCTGTTCAGGCCAGGAGAACTCCCTTCTGCTCCCAAGTTTCCCCACCCTGCTGCTCCCTGTTGACAAAGAAGCCTTGATTTCACCCTCCTGATTTAGCAGCCGCCCAGGTGGCTGGTTCAGGTTTCCCCTGGCCTGCTTTGCAATATGTTAAGTCACCATTTCCAATTGAAACCAGAGAGATTAGCTTTCTTTTCCTGGGGCACCTGATTACCTAGATGGGCACCTGTCAGTCACTGTGCTTCCCTAGGCGAGGGATGCACTGAAACCCTCCACCAGCAAAACTTGCCAGCCACAGGTCACCTGGGCGACGCCTCTTGCCTGTGTGTGGCTCCCAGTCTTGAAACTTTAAAGAAAAATAAAACGGTCCAGAGGAAAGTTTGCTCGTTCTTGTTTTTTTAACGATGTTTTGTAGAGCCAAAGTGTGCTTCCACGACGAGAGGTGAAATGGAAAACCGCTGTCAACCGAGGCAATTCCCCCCACCCCTGCACAGAAAACCCAGGCAGCCAGTAGAAATGCCTACAGGGCGGGAAAAAAAATGAATAAATATGTAAACAGCAGGCTGCAGTTTTGTTATTTATTGACCAGATCACTTGGCTTGCCTAGATAGTTTTAGAAGGCTGGATTTATCAGTTTGCAAAAAGTGCAGGATCTCACCTCTCCCTGGAGAGAGCAAATGGCTCTGTAGGGATACAGGCCATTATTTATTTATTATCAATTTATTTCTTTTTTTCTTTTATATACTTTATTGGAAGGTGAAAATAATGTGTATGTAATTGTAAGTGCACACGGTAAAAAAAGATGTGAAAACGGGGGGTAAGAAAAGAAAAATAACATCCAAATACAATATCAAAAGAAAAACCCACTGGAAAAAGAACGTATAAGCATTACCAGATTGTTATTGTTCAGTCTGTATATTTCTATATCCTTTATTGAAGATAAAAAGCAATGTGTATATATAGTTGTAAGTGTACAGGTAAAATATGATGTGAAAAAGGAGGGAATGAAAAAAAAGAAAAGAACACCATATACAATATAATTGAAACTTCAAAACAAAACAAAAGCCACCAAATTAAAATTATTCTAAAACCAGCTAAACAACTCCTAAAAGCAATTAGCAGCAGCATCACCACCACCCAGCATCACCACCACTCAGTCACACATTTGTTTTCATTGTGTTAAAACCAGGAATGGGGCAAAAATCCCAAGACCCCACCACAGCCTCAAACTAAGGCCAGGACAATTGACAATGACACAGGCACCATACATACACAACAGCAAAGAGGTTCAGAAAAGCAGTCCATAAAATTGTAGCAGTAAGCGGATACCATGTACCGTATGGTTTCCTCTGACTATCCAATACAGAATCAAATAATCTCCAAAATTCTTTTGCTGACCAGAGGGACTCGTGGGGAGTGGCACCCCGACGAGCTGGGCAGAGGAGTAAATCCACACCCCAGGATTTTTCCTTATCAATTGTTTAATATAGAATTTACAGTTTGGGTAACAAACGCCTTTTAAAAACAGAGGAGGGGCTGCGTGCTTCGAAGACGGTGCCTGGAATGAGAGGCCCGTTAGGCCAGGTGTGATTTCCTTGAACATCAGAGGGAATGTGCCCAGTTTAGGGTCCCACACTTTAAAGGAGGTTAGGGACAAACTGGAACAGGTGGGGAACAGTCTAGGTTGGAAGGGGGGTGGACATGTTTAGCCTGGCCGGGGTAAAAGATGCCCCACTTGCGGGCAGAAGTCCTCCACCCATGCAAACCCCCCCCCCAATCTACACATCTACAAGGTTAACACAAGGCTGCCAGGGTGCCCAGTTGGTGGTGACCCAAGACGGCCACCAACGTGACTCTGGCATGTCCCGTTTCAAGGAGGAGCTGGGAGGCCTGTTTCTGAACCAAATTGTTTATATTCCAACCTATCTTTTCCTAAAAGCAATCAACAGGTGTCCCCCCCTTCTTTTGGCTTGGGAGTTTCAGTGAGTTGTGGCTACAAAAATCCCCAAGGGTTACTCCTTACAAGTCTGCAGCTGTTTGACAGCTGGGTGGACCAGAAGCAGCGCTGAAAGGGCCTCAGTCCTTCCAGGAGCAAGTTGCTCGCTTGGAGCAGTCTCTGGCGCTGCAGTCTCTGGCCTGCTTTTCCTTGATGGCTCCTCCTCTGGCCAAGACACCGGTCAAGGAGCTGTCAGGTGAGCACAGGCCAATCACGGGCAGGAAAGAACGTGAGGCGTGAAATGCAATGAGCTTTGATGCGCAGGAGAGTTCTTCTGGCTCGACTTGCTCTACCTGGAGACTCGAGTTCCCCTGCTCTAGTTCCCCTGCCACTAGCTCTCTGGGTGCCTCCAGGACAAAGAGAGTTCGGATTCAGGGAGGTGCCCAGCAGGGCTCATAGTAGTGGCTTGGAAGGGCAGGAAGTAAACAAAAATACAGTCTAGTGGTGATACAATTGAATGAGTGTTTTTTTAAAAAAAGATATTTCTCTTAGATTGCTGTTGGTTCAGTATTTATTTTGTAAGTTGTCTGTTTGCATGTGTTTCCAGGTGGAGTATCCCTCCCACAGATGGGCAGGGACCCTATGGCAGCCTCTGGCACCAGTGGCCAACCTAAGCAGGAACTGTCTCCAGAAGAGGAAGCAAGGGGGCGCGGAGCAGGAGCAGCCCAGGCACAAGGGGGTCGTGCCAAGGACAGGGCTTTACGCTACCAAATGCCTGGTTTAAACAAGGATGCTTTTAAATCTCTCCTGGAAACTAATAGCGAGGGAGATGGATGCACCTCGTTAGTGAGGGCGGCTCACAAACAGGAAGCCGCCGCCAAAGAGGCCCTGTCTAGGGGCACCACCAACTGGGCACCCTGGCGGCCTTATATTAACTTTGGGGATGGGGAGGGTGGAGAACTTCTGCCCGCAAGCGGGGCATCTTTTACCCCGGCCAGGCTAAGCATGTCCACTCCCAACCTAGACTGTTCCCCACCTGTTCCAGTTTGTCCCTATCCTCCTTTAAGGTGTGGCACCCTAAACTGGGCACATTCCCACTGCAGTTCAAGGAAATCACACCTGGCCTAAAAGGCCTCTGATTCCAGGCACTGTCTTTGAAGCATGCAGCTCCTCCTCTGTTTTTTAAAAGGCATTTGTTACCAACAAACAGCTATGACCCCATCCCATCCGCAGCTCCCAAGCTGCCAAAAAGAAGGGGCAAGGGGGCACAGCTCACCCCCTCTGTATTTTAATGTTTGAAATGGTTTTGTTTCATATATATAATTTTTTTCAAAAACTTAATTAAAAAATTAGATATAGAGACAGAAAGCAGGGAAAAGAGTCCGCAGTGGAGGTCATCTGCTCGGAGTTGCACCTCAGTAAAGGCACCATCTTTGAAGGATGCAGCCCCTCCTCTGTTTTTTAAAAGGCTGTATTGTATTGGCCAGTATTGGCCGGCTACCCTCCCCTTCTTTCAGCAGCTTGAGAGCCGCGGTCGGGAGGGGTGCCATTGTCCCGCACACCCAATGGCCCTTGTGGCAGCATCCTGGGCGGGGTGATAGGGCGCAAATATAAGCCACACTTTTAACTTTTCCCGGGCAGAATTTGGGGGGAAAGTGTGTCTTATATTCGGGCCAATAGGGTAATTTCTACATTAAACAATGAAAACCCATGTGTGACCGATCGTGCGCCACAACTTCTTTCTGCAGGTTCCTGGGTGGTGCTGCTGCTGCTGATATCTCCTTTTTTGATATAAAGGCCGGCCAGTTCCTCCTGGAAGCAACGACATGCCGGGGACACATTGGCTGTGGGTGGACGCGACTGCGGTGCTGGCCAATCCACCGTCTCAGCCACCTGGCCAGAGGCCTGCTCCCCACTTGCGCCCCACTGCTGGCTGGGTTGCACCAATGTCGATGGGGCGGTGCTTTCCTGAAGACCTTCCGGACCTAGGAGACGAGGGAAAAGAGACCGAGGTGTGAGGGGTCGTGTGGGGCTCTGATGGGGTACCGGGAGTCTCTTTGACTGAGGTGCGGCTCCGAGCAGATGACTCCCGCTGGGGACTCTTTATTCCGCTTTCCGTCTCTAGCCCGATCTGCGAGAAAAGCAAACAAGTCACATCCAGATTCTGGGAAACTGCCATGATCATTACAAATTAATTAATTAATTGGGGGGACCAGCTGGGGAATGCCAAAGAGAAGAAAGATCAGAGCCCAGGGAGTGGGGGTGGGACGGCAGCCAGTAGTCAGAGGGAGAAGACTGGGAAGAGGAGGTGTCTTAAGCTGGAGAGGTAACAGGGCTTAGTGAGCGGGGAGAGTCTGTGGCAGAGAGAAATCCACAATAGAGGCAGAAGCTGCAGCGGGAGAGTGGGATGAGGGAGGCCAAGAGGCAGAGATGAGTCCAGCTGGGGAAGACTCGCGATTGTCTCTCCCTCATGCTGCAACAAGCTTGCCTCCCTCCTGTCTCCCAGAATCAGGAGAGGCATGAAAAGGGCAGAGCAGAGGTTGACTGCACGCAGGTTCAGACTCCAATTGCTTGAGAAAAAGCCCTGGGGGGCCCCTGGGGGGCAGTGGACTTTCAGCCTCGGCAGCTGATTTTCACGGAGTAAGACGGAGGAATAAGCTGCTCTAGGCCTGACACTCCACAGGTCTGTGGAGATTGTGTTTTTTGCTAATAAAGAGTTAACTCCGTCTTTGAACTGTGTGATTACTGACCGGCACTCTGCCGCAACACATATGTATATACGTAGGCGCCTTCTTCTAGGTCAACACCTATTGTCCATCTAGACCAGCTATGCCTACTCTGATTGGCCGTGGCTCTCCAGGGTCTGAAGTTAAGACTTTCCTGATCCCTTTAACTAGAGATCCTGGGGAATCAAACGTGGGACCTCCTGCCCTTCAAAGCCATTGCGCTACGAGCCCTGCTGGGCACCTCCCAGAATCCAAACTCACATTGCACCCTACCTGTTTCGCATCTCTAGCAGCCTCCACGCTGTAAGAACAAACATTGACAGCTTCCGCCTCCTTCTCTAGGCTGGGCAGAGAGAGCTGGTTCTGCAGCTGTGACTTCAGTTCCGCTACTGCGGTCTTCTCCTTCTCTGAGCATCCTTGGTGCTTCCTCTTCTGAGTACGCTTCTTGCTCATATTGGCCACTGGTGGCGGTGGTGGAGGGCTGCCATGAGGTCCCTGCCCATCTGCAGGTGGGGTAATCTTCCTGTCCACCTGGAAACACATACAGACAACTTGCAAAATAAATACTGAACCAAAAGCAACCTAAGAGAAATATCTTTTTTTTAAAAGAACCACTCACTCAATTGTATCACCAAGAGCCTGTATTTTTGTTTACCTCCTGCCCTTCCAAGCCATTACCATTGCCTCCTTGATATTGCAGCACACATTGAGGGCTCCTGCCTCCTCTTCCGGGCTGGGGAGCAGAGAGCACTGGTTTTGCAGTCGCGGCTGCAGCTCCACTGCTGTGGCCTGCTCATGCTCCTTCTCTGAGCCCCCTCTGTGCTTCCTCTTCTGGGGACACCTCCTGCTCCCGTTGGCTGCTGGCAGAGGCGACGGAGGGCTGTCGTGGCTTCCCTGCCCCTCTGTGAGAGGGATATTCTTCCTGCCCAGCCTGAGGCCCTCACTCTCTTTGTCCTGGAGGCACCCAGAGGGCTCAGGTTGTACTTGTGCAAATAAAACCATGTACCCTGAAGACACCACAGTCTCTGCTGACCTTCAGTCCAAAGAAACTGAACCTACGTAAGCACCTGGAACCCTGGGAGATTGGGGCATGCACATCCGCATCTCTGCATTTATTTGTGGATGGGCGGAAACCATAATTGTGAAGCAAGAAATGAAATCATTCTCTCTCTTTTTTTGATCTAATAAGTAACAACCTTGTATTAGTTCTCAGTCCTACTTAATGTGGAGCGATGGGTTATGTTTCTATTTAAATTTCAGTCCTTATTCCTAAACGCATTGGGAGCTTGTATCCTACTTGGGGGTTCCCCCTTTGGGCATCTGGCTGGACACAGTGAGAACAGGATTCCGGACTAGGGGCGCCATTGGCATGGGTGTCTTTTTTTTCCTTCTTGAAACATAGCAACCCTAGTTAAGGGGCCACCGCCTCCGACTTATGAGTGTCTTCCGCCCCTTTTAAGGCCACCCAAGCCTGCCCACTCACCAGTTCTAGTGGCAGGCAGTTCCCAGGACTGAATCCCTATGCGCTTCTGGCGTTATTCACTCTTGGCTGCAGGTGTTCTTCTGTGTTGCCTCCAGGTGGAAGTCACAGCCCCTCCACAGCATCCCTGGCCGAATTATTGTGGGGCTATTATTATTATTATTATTTGTCTGCTAATATCTTCCGGGGTGATGCCAGGCCGCTCCTGGAAGGACCCCTCTTATCCTGAAGCTGTGGGACAAAAACAATGCAAAAATAGCAACGTGAAGAAGTTTGAAGGACAGAGCAGACCAAGATGTCCTCAAAGGGTCTCTATTTCCTAAATATCTCATAGGAAAGATCTGCCTAGTCCAGCCTCATTTTTCTCACATTGTATAGCCAGATATTTCAACTGGAGATTGGCCACCAGAGACTTGCCACGTACCCCCTTGAGGTGTCCAGAGTCCCCCAAGGTGTCGCTCTCGTAGGCTTCGTAGTCTAAGCTCAGAGGGCTGTCTGGGCCGGCGTCTCTCTGGGGTGCGAGGAGATTCTTCCCATTTGGGGTCCTCCTGCACACAACCTCAGAGTTGCCGATATCCATTTTGGGGAACTGCGGAGGAAGAGGGAGAAGCCCCGTCAGCAGCGCTGGGAAGGGGGGAGAGACTTCCCAGAATCTCCTGCAACCTGGCCTGACCCTGCAAGGCTGTCCTTCGTCTTCCCTGCCTGGGCTTCCCTCCTCCTCTTTCTGCCACATACAGACCTCCTTGAGATCTCTGAAGTCCCCCAAGGTGTTGCTCTCATAGGCTTCGTAGTCTAAGCTCAGGGGGCTGTCCTGGACGGCGTCTCTCGGGGGGGGCAAGGGAATTCTTCCCATTTGGGGTCCTCCTGCACACAACCTCAGAGTCACCAACATCCATTTTGGGGAACTGCGGAGGAAGAGGGAAAAGCTCTGTGAGCAGCGCTAGGAAGAGGGGAGAGAACTTCTGCCTGTAAGCGGGGCATCTTTTACCCCGGTCAGGTTAACATATCCTCTCTCTTCCAACCTTTCCTCGTTGGACTGTTCCCCACCCATTCCAGTTTGTCCCTATCCTTCTTTAGAGAGCCAGTGTGGTGTAGTGGTTAAGAGCGGTAGTCTCGTAATCTGGGGAACCGGGTTCGCGTCTCCGCTCCTCCACCTGCAGTTGCTGGGTGACCTTGGGCCAGTCACACTTCTGTGAAGTCTCTCAGCCCCACTCACCTCACAGAGCGTTTGTTGTGGGGGAGGAAGGGAAAGGAGAATGTTAGCCGCTTTGAGACTCCTTCGGGTAGTGATAAAGCGGGATATCAAATCCAAATCCAAACTCTTTAAAGTGTGGGACCCACAACTGGGCACATTCGCACTGATGTGCAAGGAATCACACCTGGCCTAACAGGCCTCTCATTCCAGGCACCATCTTCGAAGGATTCAGCTCCTCCTGTTTTTTAAAAGGCGCTTGTTACCCAAAGTGTAATTTCTATTTCTATATCAGACACGTCCAACCCACCGATCCAGATTGCTCAGTCGATCAGGGGGTTGATCTTGGTGGATCGCGGGCCCAAGGCAGCCCGAGCACAGCACTCTCCTCAATAGCCAGAAAGACAATGACTCCAAAGCCGGGCACGAAAGAGCTCCGCACCCCAGCTGGTTTGGAGAGAGAGAGAGAGAGAGAGAGAGAGAGAGAGAGAGAGAGAGAGATGTGTTGGGGGGGGGAGGATGGAGGTGAGAAGGAGCTGGGTCTCTGAAGAGGGAAGGTAGGATCAAGACCAGCAACAGCATCACCTCTGCGGGGGTGGAGGGAGGGAGGGGGAGAAGACAGGATCGGCATTGCCCGCCCACCCTGTCCCCTTGTGGGAAGCAGCCAGCGCCCACCAGCCCACCCTGCTCCCATCACTGTCCCCTTGAGGGAAGCAGCCAGTGCCCACCTGCCCACCCTACACCCATCATGCATTGTCTCCCCCTCATGCTACGACAAGCTTGCCTCCCTCCTGTCTCCCAGAATAAGGAGAGGCATGAAAAGGGCAGAGCAGAGGTTGACTGCACGCAGGTTCGGACTCCAATTGCTTGAGAAAAAGCACTGGGGGGCAGTAGACTTTCAGCCTCGGCAGCTGATTTTCACGGAGTAAGACGGAGGAATAAAGCTGCTCTGCTCATTAGGCCTGATGCTCCACAGGTCTGTGGAGATCGTGTTTTTGCTAATAAAGAGTTAACTCTGTCTTTGAACTGTGTGATTACTGACTGGCACTCTGCCGCAACACATATGTACATACGTAGGCGCCTTGTTCTAGGTCAACACCTATTGTCCATCTAGACCAGCTATGCCTACTCTGATTGGCCGTGGCTCTCCAGGGTCTGAAGTTAAGACTTTCCTGATCCCTTTAACTAGAGATCCTGGGGAATCAAACGTGGGACCTCCTGCCCTTCAAAGCCATTGCGCTACGAGCCCTGCTGGGCACCTCCCAGAATCCAAACTCACATTGCATCCTACCTGTTTCGCATCTCTAGCAGCCTCCATGCTGTCAGAGCAAACATTGATGGCTCCTGCCTCCTTCTCTAGGCTGGGCAGAGAGTGCTGGTCCTGCTCATCTGACCATCAAAGAGGTTTCTTCTTTTTTTTGCACTTCCATGCTTTGATTGGCGAGGGAGGGTTGCTGTGGGGTCCCTGGCCTGCAGGGGTACTCCTCCTTGTTCACCTGGAAACGCATGCAAACAGATAACTTACAAGATAAATACTGAACCAAAAGCAACCTAAGAAAAATATTTTTTTTTTTAATGACTGGATAAGCCACTCATTCAATTGTATCACCACTTGACTGTATTGGTGTTTACCTCCTGCCCTTCCAAGCCACTACAATTGCCCTACCAGAAGTGCTGGGAACCTCAGAATCCGAACTCAAACCACACCCTACCTGCTTTGAATCTCCAGCAGCCTCTATGCTGTCAGAACAAACATTGATGGCTCCCGCCTGCTCCTCTGGGCTGGGCAGAGAGTGCTGGTCCTTATAAGTAACAACCTTGTATTAGTTCTCAGTCCTCCTTAATGTGGAGTGATGGGTTGTGTTTCTATTCAAATTCCAGTCCTCATTCCTAAATCTATTGGGAGCTTGGGTCCTGCTTTGGGTATTTGGCTGGACACAGCGAAAACAGTCAAGCCAGAGGCTCCTCCCAGCTCTGCCTTGCCCCGCCCAGTGGGCTGGACCATTCACCACTAAACCCCGCCCTGTCTCTACCCGCATTCCACCCCCCCTTCACAACCTATTGTCTTCTCCCCGCCTCCTTTCACAATAGCTCATCTGGATTGGCGCAGGCGGCCAACACTCTCGCGAGCGCCAGAGCTCGCCCCTCCCCTCCCCCTTACCTCACGCTGATTGGCCGAGACAGGGGCGTAAGGGGCGTGACCCGGCAGGACCAGCCCAGCGGGAGGCAAGGTGACAGAAGCAGCAGGAGGAAATTGACCCCCCAAAAAACTTAATTAACCAAGATTAAAAAAACAACAACAGGTTTTGAACCAAAAACTTCTAAACTGCAAAGCGAATTGTTGCAGTCAAATTAAAAAATTATATCGAAAATGTACGACCTACTCCTTGAATGGGAACTGAAAGACGAAGTGATAAAAGAAACAACGATAAAGTGGTCACAAGATCTGGACAAGACAAAACATTTAGATAGGTGGGGGAAATTATGGAGTGTTGACATAAATTTTACGGCTTGTTATTTGATAAAAGAAAATATAATGAAAATGTGTTATCGCTGGTACCTCACCCCAGTAAAATTGGCAAAGATCTATAAAAAAAACATTCAAACCTTTTGCTGGAGATGCAATGCTGAGGTGGGAACAATGTACCATATGTGGTGGGGGTGTAAGGTGATTAAACAATTTGGGACTATGATACATAAAGAGCTGAAAAGAATATTTAAGGGTACAATTCTCAAAAAGCCAGAAACATATCTGTTAGGCTTAATAACCAATGATATCCCCAAAGACAAAAGGAATATATTCCTCTATATTAGGGGTGGCCAACTCCCAAGAGACTGCGATCTACTCAAGAGTTAAAAACTGGCAGTGATCTAGCCCCTTTTTTGGGGTGAAGGGCAAAAATGTTGAGCTTTTTTTAGGGGTGCCAAAGTTATTATTCAGCTTCTTTGCGGGGAGCCAATGATCTACCACAGACGTCCAGTCTACTGATAGATCACGATCTACCTGTTGGACGTGCCTGCTCTATATGACTGCAGCAGGTAGATTACTAGTGGGGGGAAACTGGAAAACGGGGGGAAATCCAGAATTATTAGAATGGAGAATTAAGATCTGTGAATTTATGGAGATGGTAAAATTAACAGCATCAATCGGGGGTGCTCCAAGCAAAAAATTAATAGAGTGGGAGTGTGTAGTGATATATATGAAAAAAAATTGGATATGGAAATTAATTTTAATATATATGTAAAAGGAAAGACTCGCAAGGGCACAAGATATGATTATAAAGGATATGATTATTAAGTATAAATGACTGCTAAGACAACAAGAAATAATAATACAAATGCCAATAAGATCACACATGGGTGAGGGGAAGTTGGGGGGGGGGAGCATAGCTGTCAACTTACAGATTTGAAAATAAGGGACCAGCAGCCTCGAAAATAAGGGACCAGCAGCCAAAATAAGGGATCAACAATTACTTTGATAAAATACATATTTTGTTGCATGCAAATGGCTTTAGATACCTATTAGGTCCATAAATTACCATATAGCATATATTCAACACAAAAAAACCCAGCAACAATTTGTTGTTGACAAAGGACAGCTGGACATAGAAAGGGCCCCATTACCTTCAGTAGCTTATTTAAGGGACATCATCAATAAGGGACAGCAGCGGGACATGGCGCTGGGATAAGGGACTGTCCCGCCAAATAAGGGACGCTTGACAGCTATGGGAAGGGAGGGAAGCAGAGGGTGGTATTTGGAAAACCATTAAGAATGTGATATAAATGTAAATTGGCTGACGACGATTGTGCTTGTAATTTGAAATATTTTGAATGATTGTGGTTGTAAGTTTCTTTAAATAAATAAATAAATATTTTTTTTTAAAAAAAACTTAATTATGCATTAACTCTGCTTGAAGGGGAGGGGGCAGGTTTCGTTCTGCTCCCTCCCACCTGGCTTGAAAAGCGGGGAGTGGCTTTGAAAAGACTTGGGGAAATTTCAGTTCTGGGTTTTGGGGTGTGTGGAAGGTGACTTTGATTTCCTGGTCAGAGTTTGAGGCTGGGTAGTAGAGAGCAACTTTGAGGCTCTTCCAAAGGACAAAAAATGGGAGGAGGTTTGTTTCTTTAGGGGTGGGAAGAGGTTTTTTTTTAAAAAAGCGTTTTGATAGTTCAAATCAGGAAAAATAAATACAGTAAATGCACAAAAATATGAAGATTCACAAAATGTTTAGGGCTATGCGTACCCCTCCATCCCCCAGAAAAAAGCACTGAATATTTTATATATATATATAAATATATATTCACTGTCTCAGTTGCGAAGAAAACAACTCTATATTAGATATACTGAGTGCCAACAAAACAGCTCTATACTGTATTAGATATAGCGAGAGAGAGATTGAGAGGTATCTCTTGCAGAGCTGGAATGTACAAAGGTTAAGAGCCTCAGACATTGCTCTGCCGGTGTCCTTTGGGTTGAAAAAACTGCTCCCTGATGGGAAAGAATCACAGAAACGTTATTGTCAGAAGGGACCATGGGGCCATCTAGTCCAACCCCCTGCAATGCAGGAATCTGGTTGGAGGAATGCATCGTACTGGGAGAGACTGGCCAATGGCCTGATTTGGAATAAGGCAGATTCACCTGTTGGAATCCTTGGGTTCCTTAGGCAAGATATTGGTGGGAATTCGCACCCGTGGTCCTCCAGGTGTTGCAGTACTCCAACTCCATGCAGCCAGGAATGGTCAGGGGCGGTTGGGAATTGAAATGTTATAAGAATTCTAAGGTCTCAAATATAAAATAGGTAAAGGTAAAGGGACCCCTGACCATTAGGTCCAGTCATGACTGACTCTGAGGTTGCGGCGCTCATCTCGCTTTATTGGCCGAGGGAGCCAGAGTACAGCTTCCGGGCCATGTGGCCAGCATGACTAAGCCGTTTCTGGCGAACCAGAACAGCGCACAGAAACGCCGTTTAGCTTCCCGCCGGAGCGGTACCTATTTATCTACTTGCACTTTGTTGTGCTTTTGAACTGCTAGGTGGGTAGGAGAAGGGACTGAGCAACGGGAGCTCACCCCATCGCAGGGATTCGAACCGCCAACCTTCTGATTGGCAAGTCCTAGGCTCTGTGGTTTAACCCACAGCGCCACCCACATCCCCAAATATAAAATACATGTTCATAAATGCACGTGGCAAACACATACATAAGTATATAAACCACGTATTTGAAATAGTACAGAAGAGCAGTCCGGAGGTCATTTTGATTCTCCCAGTGACCTCAAATATTGCTCTGCAGTAAGGGAGGAAAATGGGGAAAGCTTTCCCATTGTCTTTTTGCTTACGAATCCTGTTTTAAGGGGCGTATTTATGTATGAATAGGGTGAACCTATAACCTAGATCCAGGAATTAAGAGTATTTACCATCACCAAAGAATGGCCAGGCTGCCCAGGTAAAGCCATCAGTGACCATCAGCAGATATCCTGGCAAACAGGATTTATGCTGTAAACCACCTCTTGTGATGTATGTCTGCTGGATACCACCTCCTTCTGTGATGTATGTATGATGTCCTTGAGGGTGGTCTTGAGCTATAGGGTGGGCAATTTCAAGTGTCTATATAAGAGCTTGCACACCAATGTTCTGGGTTCCTCCTCCCTCCTGCATGTGGGGACTGAGGACCCTGTTGCAACAGTCTAATAAAGATCAGTCTTACTAGCTGCTTTGCTTCTCAATATTCTCTGGTTGGCCTCTGTTATTTTCTCCTACTGACTCTATACGAGCTCTTGGATACCCCATAAGGGAAAAGGAGCAGTTTTTTTCTTATAATACAGATGTTTTCTCCTACTAGTTATCCTCTCCAATATATATGGGAGGAGTATATAGTAAAATAGCAGGAGATTCATAGCCCAGCAGGACATCTGCTCTGCATGCAGAAGATCCCAGGTTCAGTCCCAAGCATCTCCAGGTAGGACTGGGAGAGCTGCTGCCGGTCAGTGTAGATCAGGGGTCGGCCACCTGCGGCCCACGGGCCACAAGCGGCCCACGGGGATCGTTTAAACAGCCCACAAGCCGCCCCTGAACCAAGCCGCCTGTTTGGCGAGTCCCTGCGCACTGCGCTAAACCGGTGCAGCGTGGAGTGGGGACTCGCTTCCGTGGCACAAGAAATCGTGTCTGACCGACGCAGACACAATCCGGCCCACGGAGCGATCTCTGCGGGAGTGAACCGGCGCAGGAGAGGAAAACCTTCCCAACCCCTGGTGTAGATGATACCGAGCAACGTGGACTAATGCAAGGTCTGACTCTGCATAAGGCAGCGTATCAAGTTTCTAGATCTCACACTTGCAATAGAAATAGTAATGGTAATAATATCAACATCAACTTACTTGCTGAGGTCCCAGGTCCAGTTCCCAACATCTCCTGATAGGACTGGGAATCTCATAGAATCATAGAGTTGGAAGGGACTCCAAGAGTCATCTAGTTCAACCCTCTGCAATGCTGGAACCTCTGCTATTAGACCTCCAAGGAAGGAGAGCCCACCCCCTGCCAACGGAGCCCATTCCCCTGTCAAACAGCTCTTTAGGGAAGCTTTTAATGTTTGACAGACTACTGCATTTTAATACTTTGTTGGAAGCCGCCCAGAGTGGCTGGGGAAACCCAGCCAGATGGGTGGGGTATAAATAATAAATTCTATTCTATTCTATTCTATTCTTACTATCAGAAAGATTTTCCTGATGTTGATTCGGAATGTCCCTTCCTTGTAACTTGAAGCCACTGGTTCAAGTCCTACCTTCCAGAGAAGACAAGCTTGCTCCCTTCCACGTGACACCCCTTGAGATATTTGAAGATGGCTCTCCTATCTCCTCTCAGCCTCCTCTTTTCCAGGCTAAACATTCCCGACTCTTTCAAGCGCTCCTCATCAGGCTTGCTTTCCAGACCCTTGATCAGGGGTCAGCAAACTTTTTCAGCAGGGGGCCAGCCCACCGTCCCTCAGACCATGAGGTGGGCCGGACTATATTTTGGGGGGGAAATATGAATGAATTCCTACGCCCCACAAATAATCCAGAGATGCATTTTAAATAAAAGGACACATTCTACTCATGTAAAAACACGCTGATTCCCAGAGCACCCGCAGGCGGGATTGAAAAGATGATTGGGCCGAATCCGGCAACCCCCGGGCCTTAGTTTGCCTACCCCTGCCCTTGATCATCTAGGTCTCCCTCCTCCACACACCTTCCAGCTTGTCAACATCTTTCAGGTGCCCAGAACTGGACAGCGTGTTCCAGGTGTGGTCTCATCAAGGTAGGACAAAGTTGGACTACGACTTCCCTTGATGTGGACATGAGACTTCTGTTGATGTTGCAACGGTGCAACGGCACTTTCTCTCCCTGTCGGGGCGTAGCTAGCTGCTCTGGCACCCGGAGCGGTGGGAGTGGGGCGATCCACCCAGGGGGGCGCCG